TATTCCTTGGTTAATGACTTTCTTTTAACCTTGAGGTTAGAAATAAGAACAAATCTGAATCTAGTGCTATGACTACTTCTTACATAGCACAGAGTCATAAGAATAAAGGGCATTTATTCAATTGTGTTTCTCTAACATGTAGAACAGTGTCTGGCACACCAAACCCCAACAAAATCCACTGCCACTGGATCTAGTTCAACTGGTAACAACCTCTATCAGATTTCTGAGGCTGTAACTGTTTACAGGAAAGGACTGTCCATCGTCCTCCCATGCAGTAGATGGTGGACTTGAACCACAGACCTTCCGGTTAGTAACCCAATAGGTTGTGCATCAGAGCTCAGCATATAGTAAGCTTATAAAATATTTGTTATTTGATCCTTTCTATTATAGTCCACAAAACCCCTTCCATCTCCATGAAAGAACAACTAAAATCTTTATTTAATTGCATGGAAGGGTCACAGAACACTTAAACTAAATTCATAACAACAACCAATAAGAACCACTGACATTTGTTAGCTTTTTTATTATAAGTCAGGCATTATGCTGAGTTGCTTGCGCATGGTTTTATTTATGCTCCTAACAATATGAGTCACAACCAACTTGATGGCACATAACAAGAATAACATCATCACTTCAGAAACTCAAGTTCATGATCACGGCTGTTGAGTTGGAACCGACTCATGGCTCCCCTCCACTGGGTTTCCCAGATTGAAATCGCACGAGAGGAGAATGAGAATGTCCATCTTTCTCCCTTCGAGCTTCTCGTGGATCCAAACCACAGAGAGACACCACCCTCGAGTGAGTCAGCAGCACAGATCTCTCCAGCCTAAGTAACGAGACCTCCCTGGTCCTATAACTACTGGCTCACAAACCGTTGAAGCGAGGGAGCCAGGGCCACACATCCAGGTAGTGCCAGCGTTGCATTCCAGGTCTGCTTCTCTCCTGTTAATCACACATTCCTAACCCCTCCAATTCACCAATGCATTCTGAATCAGTTCTCCTAAAAGAAACATATCCTTTGATCCTGAAAAAATCTTTTTTTGTGTCAGAACACAAGTATACAGGAAATGTCCGTCTGTGTCAATGGTTATTTATTATTAATCAGTTGCCACTTACTGGATGATCTATTGCTTGATTTCTCGGAGTTGACAAATCACGTGCCTTTTTCATATTGTGCGCCTAGGAATAAGCTCAACAAACAGATTCTCTTGGAAGGTTTACTGTTTGCTTCAGGTTGCTTTTAGGAACATGGGTTATATGAAGCATTTTTGCCTCAAAAATTCTAGAGTCATTAAATTGTGATACCACAACCTGCATAGTAGGGTACTGATAAAATAAGGATGCAAGCAGTGATACAGAGACACTTAAAATGGCCAAAAATACAGCGTAAGTTTTACACACCCTGCAGACTGCAGGTTTATATGATAATAAATAATAGTTATCACCAGGACAAAGGAAAAAAAAGTGCTGTGAAATCCAATCCCTCAGTCAGAAATCTGTTAATACAGGTGGTAAAGCTTGTTCCATTTCATTGTCAAAGGGAGGCTATTTATTTGCTTCTGGGTGGTTAAATTACAGTGCCATTTACTGCAGCAAGTTTTCCAGGAGACAGATGTGAACCTAAAACTCGGAGCTTTAGATTCAGAGTTTAGATTGAGAGAGGGAGAAGGCTCTCCTCCTCTGACGGCTGAATTGATAGAGATAAAAATCTTTGAGCAATTCCAGGGGGAGGAAAGTGTCTTCCATCGTGTCCATTTGAGTCGCCATACCGTGTATCTTGGACGTGACCAGAGCTCAAATGTAGGCTGAAGGGACAGTACATTTTAGTAAGCTATTTAAAGCATTTTTCCCCTTCATAATTTCTTAGTCAGCAAAGTGTCACTGATGTGTGTGTGTACATGCGCATAAATCTGAAAATATACCTTCATAATAATTAATTCAAGGAGACTCTTGTACACTGTATATAAAACTATTCCAATAGTTTGAGAATCCAGCTGTATTTCAAATTTGGGGATTTATCAATAGATTAGACAAAAGATATTCCAATAATATATTTTCATTCAGCATTGTTATAATTATTTTCTTTTTCTATATACTTCTAATTTAGAGTCATATTTTATATTTTGCATATACCTAACAACTTATATTTTATCATTTTTTTCCTTGGGTTTGAAAGTCACTAATTCACAAACCTGTCACAGGATCTTTGCAAAGCAGTCTTTTGATCTGGGCATTTATCTTACTATTTAAAAATATTAACTCCATCAATCTGGGCTCTTGACCAAATCCAAAGCTCCCAGCAGTATCCTGAGGATGAAGACAGCCCAGAGCTGAAAGAAATCAAACTCGAATTTATACCACCTTGAAAACCAATCAGTGTGTTCCAAAGGGTAATGAGTCCACCAAAACCGTCTACACGGGAAATGACCCACAGAAAGGGGTCAGCACATATGCACAATACAAGTTTGCAACAAGACAGCTGATGGTACTGGAGGAAACCAAATATCCCACCTCTAGTTTTTCTGCAGCTGAAACTGGGAACTGTTATCAGAGATTGCTAAATACTATCTGAGAATCAAACCCAAAACCAAAATAACTATCAAGTGGAGAATTTAATCATTAGTCATGTATATCAGGCTTCATGTGCTTTGTCAAGGACACTTTTATATGGCCATGAGACAAATCACATCACTTCAAGGTCTGTTGGCTACTTTCCCAAAATTCTGAGCATCTACAGATAAGCAAATTGAGTAGTCAATAAGAATATGTAAGAATAAGTTGTATGTGGATAAGCTATACACAGTAAGCAAAGAGATACCAAGAGTAAATTGTCTATTATTTTAATTATCAAAAATAGGAACACATTTTAGGAAGTTACGCAGTTGTTGTTGTTATGTGCCGTCGAGTCACTTGCAACTCATAGTGACCCTATGTACAATAGCCCTACACCCTGCTCTATCCCGTGCCAATCTCACTGCCTCTGACACATCCATCCCGATTACCCCAGTCACTGAATCAATCCACCTCATAGAGGGTCTTCCACTCCTGCACTGTCCGTCCACTCTGCCCAGCATGATGTCCCTCTCCAAAGACTTGTCTCTCCTTACAACATGTCCAAAGTATGTCAGGCGAAGCCCCAGAATCCTTGCCTCCAAGGAGCAGCCTGGTTTAACCCTCTCCAGGATGAGTCT